AGTGGCGCAGGGGGACTACTTTGGGGCGACCCGCAAGTCGGCCCGGGTCTCAAGTTGCCGCCGTGTCCATGGAGCCTGCCAGGGCCTTCTAGAGGCTATCCGGCGGCCTAACCGAGGCCATCCAGACCGCCGTCCAGGCCGGGTCGTCCAACCCGGGCCGTCCAGGCCGGGCCGTCCAAGGCCCCTCCCTCAAGTACAAGTGGCTGAAGGGTGAATAATCCCTGGGGCAGGCGGGGCGGCGTGGGTCGGAGCCCAAGCCGGGCGGGTCCATCTCGTCAGCAAGGTTATGGCGTGCGCGCCAAACTTCCAGACTAGGCAAAACTTGGCGGCGGGGTGGGGTGAGGGGAGGCGGGGCCTGGCGGGGCCTAGCGAGGCGAGACGACGGAACAGCTGACGCCTGACGCGACGCCGCCTGTCTTCGCACAGCGGCCCTGCCTGGCCCTGCTGCCTGTCTGAGGGCCGTCGGCATGTGTCAGTCAATGCGCCGACCTGTCCGTCGGAGAAACAGAAAGGGTCTGCAATCACAGCAACGCGGCGCCGCGGTCAACCCTACCGCGTTCCTTTCACGTCCCGGCTGCACCCATTTGTATCCCTTCTCAACCAGGAGGGCCGCGGCCTTGCCGAGCGCGGCGCGAGATGAAAGACGGCAAATTTATTTCCTGCAGAGGGCCTTGAGGCAAACAGGGAAACACCGACTACGACGTGGGCGTGCGCCAAGCCCCGCACTTGCAACTCAAGGACCTGTCCCAGAGGGGCACGGCAAGGCTGGGGCAGGGCCTGCCGCGAGGCTTCAGCAAACAGCAAATTGGGATTTAACGGGCGCGTGTTTCTACACGGCTGCGCGGGGTGAAGTGCGCAGCGTGCGCAGCGTGCGCAGCGCTACTCCAAGACAACGTCCCTGGCGGCCGTGCGGGCACAAAGCGCTATGGCAGCTGCGGCTATTCCCTCTCAATGGAGCTGCCATGGCTCTTTACGGCCTCACAGCCGCAGCGGGGCACCTGGCGCGGCGGGCGCGGCTGCAGCTGCAGGTGTCGGCGGCGCGAAGAAGGCGCAGCCGGGCGGGTCCAATGAGTTATGACACACTCGCCTAAAAATCCGCAAGTAGTGCCAGAACTCGCTGATCCCTCCCGGCCGCAGGCAGCAGCTGGCGGCAGGTGGTGGTGGCAGGTGGTGGTTGGTGGCAGGTGGTTGGAGGCGTGACAAGTGTGCCACCGGCCCCAGGCTCGTCCTGTGTTCAGACCGGTGGTCCAGACGTCTACTAATTGCAACACTACTACTATCTACCAAAAAGTAATTAAACAAAAATAAAGTGGGTGTTTGATCTGACAAGTTCAATCTAAACAGAAAACATACACACACAGGCGAGGAAACAAACCGGGTACAAATTTTGGCCAGAATGTTACATTACTTTTGCTGTGTGAAATTAAAAATAAAGGCCAGTAGGATGGAAGATTCAAGCAATATAAAAAGTATGTGAGAAGTATGTGAAAAGAATGCGAATAGGTGACGGTGTTGGCGACTGCCTTTTTACATTCTTTCTGCATTTTTTGCTGTCTGTAGAATCAATAAATTCCTTCTTTTGCACTTTATACCAGTTTTCGCCAGCACCCTGTGACATATTCGCGTTCAATTCTCATTCTTTTTCACATTTTATTAAACCTTTTTTGCCATGTTTATGGTCTTACACATCCAATCAACCAGACTTAATTTTCCATTCATAAGAAATGCAAAATGAAGGTAATTTTAAGGCGACAACGAGGAAGAAGCAAAGAGTGAATGATACAAAGCCGATGCCGGGCCGGGCAGTGAGGGTGGATGTGGTATCCTGGCCGTCATGGCTGTGCTTGCTGAAGTCCCCACAAGCTGCGGAGATGGGGGAGCTTCGACCACAGATGCCTTTGACTTAAGACCCAAAGGGCAGAGCTTGTAATAGACGCGACCACATCTCCACAGCCTGGAGAGCGTGAGTGCGTACGCCGCACGGGCGTGCTTGCACCGCCAGCCTGCCGCGTGCCGAAGGTGACAAAAAGAAGTCGGATAACGAAAACAATCAGGTTTTTTATGCTAGCGCACGGACTGCACGCGGCGTTCAACGCCAGTGCGAACGGTCTCGACTCGACTCGCGGCAACATGTCAGCTCCTCTACAAACAGTCCGGCGATGGCCGATTGCGGCGCTCATTTCGCAAGGCACACACAGCCCAGCCATTCCGAAGAGTAGCTTCGTCTCTGTCACACTCACGGGGCGTACCGTAGAGGAGCGAGAGAGACCGACAGGTGCGTCCTGATCAACCCTCGAGCCTCCAGCAGCCCGAGCTGGTCCGGCGGCCGACGCCCCGCTCCACCGACCGCGCCTCGCCTGGCCACCACCGCGACCAACAATGCCAACAATGTCTCGATTGTCCCATCACAAAGCAGTTCGCGTCCTTTCCAAAAATCTGGCCAAGCTATTGTTCTGCCTCCCCGCCTCCCCTGTTCTCTGCGGGGCTGCGCGGTCCGGGCGAGGCAGGGGGTGCGGTGGAGAGCCCTCCAGGCCCATCCTCAACCTACTTTTGTCACCTGCTGGACGGCACCCCTTCCAGGCCACCACCACCCCGCGGCCTGCGGGCCTGCGGGCCCCGACCCTCAAGGCCCCGACCGCCTGGACGGCTTGGACTCCAGGCGTTGCCGCGGACGGTCGGTCGACGCTTCTCTCTCTCTCTCTCTCTCTCTCTCTCTCTCTCTCTCTCTCTCTCTCTCTCTCTCTCTCTCTCTCTCTCTCTCTCTCTCTCTCAAGATAATGGCCGGGTCACGGCCGGTCCAAATCTGGCCGCGAGATCGCCGCTGCGCTCATCCGCTTTGTTTTTCATCTCCAGATAGCGAGCTACCCGCGCCGCGCCGCTACCCGCTGACCGCCCTGGTGGCGATAAAGGGAGGAAATACTTCCCCGGGCCGGCCTCGGCCTGGCCTCGTCCCCTAAAGAAAACAATCATTGAGCGTCATGTGGGGTCGCCGTGCCGACGCCCGGACGTGCAGGCCGGGCCGGGCCGGGCCGGGGCCCCGAGGGTGGCGGCCGCAGGGGTCGCAGAGGGCTGTCAGCGTCCATTCGGGCCCCAGCCTACGGCCCCACGGCCCCACGGCCCCACGGCACGGCCCCAGCCGTCGCCCCAGCGGATGGGTTGCAGGCGGGATGATTACAGTGGCGGAGGCCGGAGAGGCGTAAGCCGGGCCAGCGCCTGCGCAGTGCGCCCGGCCTCACCTGTGTCAGGGCCTCTGCCGTCACTGCCGTCTTCGGTCCAGTTTCATCATCCAAACAGCCCAGCCCAGCCCAGCCCAGCCCGCCCAGGGCAGCCCGACCCGAGGCCTTCTGCGGCGACCGCGCCATATACCCGACCCGGCGGGGGCCCCGGCGCTCCACCTGACTCGCCCCGCCCGGAGCCCTTTGGCCGAGGCAAGCCGAGGCCCGGCCCTGCCGCCTCGCCAACCCCGCAGACCAGCCTCCAGGCCCGAGGCGTCCGGGCATACGCCAGCCCGCGCAAGCCCGCGCTAGCCCGCGCCAGCCACATAATCACATTCCGAAACTGGTTGGCCAACTATGAAAATTGGGTTGAAAAGTTGGCGACGGCGCGGCCGGGTGGACAGCCGCGTGTGTGCCTGTGTGGCGCCCACACAACATGTGGCGGGGCGACGCTGGCCGAGGCCCTGCCCAGAGCCTGGCCGAGGCCTGGCCGGCGGATCGGCTCGGCGTGGATCGCCCAGACAGCGCGCCCAAGACGGATCACGGCGGGGCCGCCGGGGCCGGGTCGGGCACACAAGCGTGCGGCCGCGAAATTGCGTCCTCAAGAGGGATCTGAGCCGGATAGGCAACCCCCTGCCGCCCCGCCTGGCCCTGCCCGCCTCCCCCGCGCGCCACTTGACGACCAGCGGCACTACATGGCGGAGCGGAGGGGAGAAAAAAAAAACTCATTTTGGAGTGGCAGCGGGCTGCGCTGTTACAGCGGAATGCCGCGCGGACGAGGACGACGAGGACGACGAGGACGAGGCCCTTGGAGGGTGCGCTCGTATGTTTCACAACATGTTACGATAGCGGCGTGGCACTCTCAGTGCCAAAAAGCGCGCCCCATTTGCATAGCAAGCCGCGAGGGCCGCGGGGGCCGCGAGCGCGTATCAGTTGGCGGCCCGCGGTTCGTTTTAAATTCGTTTCCGACCAAGATCTAGGCGGCCGCGTTATTCTCGGGGGGACGCAAATGAACCGCGCTGCACTGAACCCGGATTCCGAACAGTGCTTCGTCGCCGTCTCTGTGGCACCCTGCGCGACGCCCCGCGACGCCCCACGAGTGCGAGAGAGACAGAAGCAGGGCGCAGCGCTAATGACGAATGGCGCCACCGCCGCCACTTCCCGCCACTTCCCGCCAGGGCGCGCCACCTGCACCTGTTTTCATTTCGGTCGGCATTACTTTGCGGGAGGCGAGGCGCTGGAGGCGATGCACAGTGGGCCAGAGGACCGGTTGGAAACCAGGACGCGTTTTGAGCTCCAGAGTCGCTGAATGGGACTCCCAACCGAGCATGTGACCCCACCAATGGACTGCTCTCCGAACGAGGAATCCATTGGTGGGGTCACACGTTCAGTTCGAGTCCTGTTTAGCGACTCTGGAGCTCAAAATGCGTCTAGAGTTTCGGCCGCCGGCACCGGTCTTCTGGCCCACTGTGCGCTGGAGGCTCCAGGGGCCGCGCCGTATCTGTTACGTGCACACGCCCCTGCTGGAGCGGGGGCTGGAGGAGGTCCCCGACGTGCCGCTTCCCGATGCTCCAGATAAAAGTGGCCACGTCGCCCGCTCCGCGCCGCCACGCCCCGCCCCGCGTCTCGTCCAATATGAAGAGGGCCTTGGCGGCGTCCAGGACGACGGCCAGGCCGACGGCCGCTGTGTTTGCCGAGCCATTCATTATGCGCGGTCCACCGGGGAGCGGCGGCGGGGCGGCGGGGCGGCTCGCCAGAGAGAGGAGCAGCAGCGCCTTCACTTACCGAGACACGTGAGGTGCGAGCGCCGAGCGAACGCCGCCGGTACCAACGCAGACTCATCGGGACAGCCATCTGCAACACACGGGCACCGTCAATAAGGGTTCATTTCGCTCTGCCTCTCTCGCACGCGTGGCGTGTGGAGCGCGGTGTGAGAGACACAGAAGCAGTGTGCCACCCGGCGCACGCGCACACGACTAGACCGCCATGATGTAGTCGTCGTCGTCGTCGCCGTCATCTCGGTGAAACTGTTTCGACCGCGCTGGATCGTACATACGGCGCGCGTGGCCCCACCGCACCACACCCTGCCCCGCCCCGCCCCGCCCCGCCCCGCCCCGCGCCGCCACAGCCCCACGCACGCCGCACGCCAAGAGGGATGTGTCTGCCTCATTAGAGATAGGGCGGCCCAAGTTCAAATTGACTAGGAATTCGCGCGCGGCGCGCACACTGCTGGCTGAAGAAGGAGAAGAAGGAGGAGGAGCGGGAAGAGAGACAGACAGAGAGAGAGAGAGAGAGAGAGAGAGAGAGAGAGCACTCTGATACCTGCCGCGCGCCGCTCCGCGCTGTTCAGTAATAAATCATGGCGGTATGCAGAGCACGTCGGGGCTTTGCTGGGAATGACTTACTACTCCTCCACCGGGAGGAGGCGCCGCCGCCGCGACGCGCCGCGACGCGCCGCACCGACGAGAAGCAGGCCGCGATCACGCTAAGCCAGCGTCGGGGACCGTCGAGGACGCCGTCGTCTTCGGCCGCCAAATTAAATAAATATCGCGGCGGAACGGCGGGAAAACGAGCGCGGAACAGGCCGCAACAAATCATTACGTGCAGCCAGTGGAAATGGAATTCCGACGCCGCCCCGCGACGCCCCGCGACGCCCCCGCCCCACCCCTTGCCTCACGGCGCGGCGCACATTTGCAATTCTGCACCGGATTTTCCCCTGGTGAACAATGACGGGTGGGTCCGGGTCCTCCCGGGTTGCCTCCTGGGCCGCCGCCCTGCAGCCTGCGGGCACACCAATCCGCGACACGCCAAGTTTCTCATTTTCCACCTTTTTCTCGTGTTCTTATTTTCGTCTGATTTTCCCGGGCTTTCCCTTCCCGCCTCCCACTGCGGGGGCCCCTTGCTCGGCTCATTAGTGGCCCCGCATACACCCACAAGGACCGGCATGGAAGTTAAATCTCGCATCGGACCAAAACTTTCTCCTCCTCCTCCTCCTCGTCCTCCTCCCGGCCCTGGTCCCCTTCATCTTTCAGAGTCATTAGGCAGAGTGGAAGGTGAAGCGCCGGCAGGTCACGGGCCACTTAAAGCACCCCGTCCACGAGGACGCCCAGGCGGACTTGGCCATGGTCCAGCGGGAATGCCGGAGGCAAATGACGCTCGCCCGAATGACATCGAACCTAAAATGATTAGGAAGAGGAAGGAGAGAGGGGCGGCGGGGGGAGGCAGTGAGAGAGACTCCGCCACCCACTGCCGGTAGTGCCGGCACGGCCAGGGCCTCGGCCAAGGCATCTCTTGCTGCAGCGAAAGAAGAGTCGCCCCAAGTTTCCGGCGGGCAGCGCGGCTCGCCACGGCACTGCCAAGGCACTGCCAAGGCACGGCCAAGGCGCGGCCAAGGCACGGCCACGGCACGGCCCGGCCCCCCGGAGAGCTAGGTGCCCCGGGAGCGGCGAGCAACGCAGAGCAACGCGGAGAAACGCCGCCCCGACTCGGCATAGTTAACTTTCATCGCGTCAGAGCCAACTTGAGAATTCAAGTTTTTGGGATAACATGGGCGGGCGCGGGGCCGAGCCGGCCGAGCCTCCCCGGGCCGGGCCGCCGGCAACTGAATCTAATAATGGGAAACCGACAAATGTTTGGCGTCCGCTCCTCGCACCTGCGGCCTGGCTGCCCTGCCTGGCTGCCTTGCCGCGGGAGGCGCGAGAGCGGTACGGGGACTTCACCTCGCCTCGTCTCGACTTACCAAGAGCTAATTCGCCAACGGCCGTAACTTGATTTAAACGAAAAACTTGGCAACCAGTGCCGACTGCGCAATTTGCGGGACTACCCCGGGGAGCGGCGTTTCGAAATCACTTAGGCCCTACACTGCATCGCAGCGCAACCCCTCCAGCAGCCTGGCGGCTCCAGGCGCGCGGCACGGCGCGAGGAAAAGTAATGGCCTCAAAAAGCCCGAGTCACTCCATGGCAGAATCAAGTTTGTGAAACAGAAAACAAAATGAACGAACCTAAATATGGAATTATCGGAATTCGGCTTGAATTATTTCGTTGGAAGCGGATGAGCCCTTAAGGCCTTGCACCTTAGAAAAGAATAAGTCACTTAGCTGTCGGCTAGGTTTAACTCACGAGTCCGGAAACCAAGTGTTCCGAAAGGAAGACGAACGATAAATTTATCTGAAACCCGGTGAAACTTGTGGCAGCATTCATCGATCCTTGGTCCAAACAAATTCATCATAACGCAGTGTGGCTCCCAGAGACGATTTTTCTAGCAGCGAAATAACTCAAGTCCGCGTTAGCTGTACGAGAAACTATCCCGAGAATGCGAAAAATAAAGGCGAGTTGCGTCTGGCGCCGCAGACTGCAGGACCCAGGCCGAGGCGCGGCGCCGCGCGGCACGCGTGCGGAAGTAAGTGGCCTAGTTGTGGTCGCCATCAAGCGGCCGGGGCGGCCGGGCAGGGCGGCAGGCCGGGGGGGTCGTCGCCTTGGTCGTCGCCACGTCGTGCTCTGGCAGTGCCGCGCAGTGCTGCGTCGCCACGTAGTCTGGGGGGCGCGGGGCGGCGGGGCGGCGAGGCGGCCGGACAGAGCATCTCGCCCTTTTAAAGCGCCATAAAACGTGAGCAAAGAAAGCAACTGCTCGGCCGGCAGCACAGTGCATTCCTTGCGGCCGGCCGCGCTCCACTACGACTCCACGACTCTTTCATGCTCGCATAAAAGCCGGCACGGTGCTGCCTAACCAAACCGGCTGCTGCTGCAACACAGCAGTCGACGCGCGCCTGCAGCCCGCGGGGTAGGCCGCCGGGCGCGCGCCCCAGCGCGGCGGAGCCCGCGGTGCCTACACCGCAGGCGCTTCGCGCTTCGCTCCGGGCCCCGGCCGCGCACCGCGCACCAACCCCGGCCCTGCCTGCCCGGGCCTGCCCTTGCCGTCACAGCGCCATCAGTGGGAAAACAATCCGTGTAGGCCTCACCGTGCCGATGCCTCCCCTCCTTCTGGCGGGGCTCCCACGGGCTGGGGGAGGGGGAGGGAGGCTCAGCCTTCAGCCCATGTCACGGCCCCCGCCCCCCTTGTCCTAGTCTCAATCCGTCAGACGGCTTCGCCCCCCCCCCCCCCCCCCCTCCCCCCTACGCCACGCCACGCCACCCAACCTGCCTGTTCCTACACTCCTTCGCCCTTTATCCGCTTCCCCCTCCACACGCTCTTTCTCCTTTTCCTTCATCGTTGCCAGCCAGCGCGCGCGCGCGAGTGTGTGTGTGTGTGTGTGCGTGCACGTGTGTGTGTTTGTGAGTGTGTGTACACACACGCGATTGGCAGTCGCGCTGCGTGAGAGATGGAGCATATCTCCAGCCTGATTCGTCGAGATATAGATCACAGGGGCGCGTTTCGCGTTTCGCCGAGACGTATTCGCTGCTTTTCCCCGCACATCTCCTTCGGCGCCGCACTGCCTTGGCGCTGCCCCGCCTCGGCCTCCCCCCCCCCTTCCCCCCCAACCCACCCGCCTCGCCCCAGGTGGGCCGCGGTGGCCGAGGCCACAACGCTCGCCGCGGGGTCTCGGCCCGGCCTCGGCCACCACGACGGCCACGCCATTTCGCAACAAATTTCGCATCCTCTGTATACGTCCGAACTGGTGCGGCGGGGCGGGGCGGTCGGAGAGGCCCCCGAGGAAGGGTGGGGTGGGGATGAAGTTTCTCAAAGCAGACGGTGCGCGTGAGGAGAATACAGACCGTCACGAGCGACCGTGCCATGACACGCACTCCCAGCCGCGCCGCCGCCATATGCGGGGCCGCTTGCGGGGCGCGGCGCCCCCCAACGCAATAAATGAAAAATCTCGCGCTCAAAGGCGCTGATTTGTTTCATCTTTTCATATTCCGCGCGCCTCGCCGCGCCTCGCCGGCCTCGCTGGCGGCGCTTGGATGCGGCTGGCGGCGCTGCGGCGCGGCGCGGCCGAGTCGGCGATGGATACGCGGCGCGACACGACACGACGATAAACCGGCCATCCCATAACTCCGTCAGGGTAAACAAACGCAGTGGGGGTGGGGGAACGGCCCATCCAAATACACCAAATGGAATGTGAACAAACTACGCGCGTGTGCAGCGTCGCGCGCAGCCTTGTTTCCAATTTCACGAACGAGTAACTCGAGATATGTGAAAAATGTGGCCCAATTGGGGGAGACGGTTTCCTCGACGAGGCGTGCTTTCCGCCGCTGCCAGCCGCTGCCAGCCACGCCAGCCACGCCATCCGGGGCAGCCGCTGTCAGCCGATTCCAGCTACCCCCTTCCACCTCGCGCACCTTGCAAGGGCAGCGACACCGTAGGCTGTGCACGCCACGCTGCCCCGCCCCGCCCCGCCCCGCCCCGCCCCGCCCCGCCCCGCCGCGCCCCGCCTCGCCAGAGGAGCCGTTGACCGCGGCACGGGACCTATCGATCCCCGAATCAATGCCTGCGCCACACTGCAACGCATTCAACACGGCGGCCGCACGCCGACCGCACGCTGTGTGTGTGTGTGTGTGTGTGCACTGGTGCGTGCCTGTGTGCGTGCGAGTGCGCGTGCGTGAGCGGGGTCACCGCATGCAGAGCAGTGCGGAGGGGTCCACGGGCGGATGGGCGGGCCACTGCATCCCCGGCGCCTCCATGCCGCCAGCCGCCCCGCCCCGTCCCGGTCGTTGACGGTCGCAGTCCCCATGGCGCTGCGGCTGCACCGCACGGACATTTAGCCCTAACGAGTGCCTTGTAGAATTTCAATAAGACCTCGCCGAGGACCGGCAGGACACCGAGCGGACCACAATGGCCGGCCAGATTTGCCCGTTACGCCGCCGCGCCGCCCCACCCCGCCCCGCCCCGCCCCGCCCCGCCCCGCCCCCCCGCGGAAGCCTCCACCCCCCGCATGACAAGCACTACCCGACGGCCTCCTCGGCCGGCCGGCCGGTGCGAACTTGAGCCGCTGGGGGCTTCGGCTGCCTTTGACTGCCTTGGCTTTCGGCGGCGCAACAGATGAGCTTTGACACGCGATACCACACCGTACACACGCCGACTGGGCCGCCACAGCCGAGGCGACGCACTGGTCGCGCGACACGGCGGGGCGCTTGGCGGGGCGTTGGCGCGGCGCACTGCCACCAGGACAAGCAGCCCGACCGCCAGACCAGCGCAACTCCAGACGGCCTATCACATTTGCGGCCTATCTGGCGGGCGGGCTGGCCGGCAGGCGCGGCCTGGCGCGGCGTATTTCATTTACAGCCCCGTCGGGCCTGGACAAGGCCGTAAGGCCCGTAAGGCCAAGCCCCAACTCATTTGCAAAGTGACACATACACTCACACACACAATCGCGCCATCCACACCCACACGCTCTCACACCGACACAGCCCCTCTCTCACACACACTGAGGTGAATGCTGCTGCAGCCCCTGCCCGTGGCGGCGTGTGACGCTGTCGTCGCGCGGGACTCCCAGACCGTGAAGCGGCGCGCTGCAGGGAGCAAACGCGATCACGGTCGGACGGACGCGCAGACACGCAGACTCGCACGCGCGTCATTCAGCGAGGGGTGACAGGCACTCCTGCGTCGCCGCGTCACGCCGCGTCACGCGACGCCGTGACGGGCCGTGACGAGTGCCGCGGGGTCGATGCCGGGTAGGGAAGTGGAGGCAGCAAGCCAGCACGTGCGCCGGGCCGGGCCGAGTTGGGCCAAGTCTAACCTCCGGCCTGCCTTGCCGGGCGGGCCGGCGTCGCTGCAACACTTACAGTCCGCCATGGCCGGCGTCCATCAAGCAGACGTCGAGGCGAGCCGAGCCGATCCGAGAAGAAGAGAGACGAGACGAGCCGAGGGGCCGATCGAGCTGCGCCGAACCAAGCATCAGCTCTCGCCGACCCCCATGGAAGTGGGCGTCACACAACCACCACCACTCTCACGCACTCTCACTGCACAAACACTGATGCACTAGGCGAATGGCCGCACTGGCCGCACTGGGCGCCACCCGCACTGGCAGCCCGAACGTCCCAAACGTCCCGAACGTCCCGCGCCGCGGTCGGCAGTGTCGGCGCCGACGCGGTGTCGCTCACGCGGTGCGGCCGGCCTACCGGCCTCTCTCCTGCGTATCCTGGGGGTCGTGTGGCGCGGTGTGGCACGGTGTGGGTCCTGCGGGTGCTGTCCAGGACAGCCTGTCCCGCCCGTCGGCCTCCTTGGCCACGCCGAACACCCGACCCAGCGGCCCGACCCTTCGCTTCGATCGTGGGGCGCGGCAGCGCGGTGCGTCCCTGGCCACGGCTGGAACTCCACTGCCTCCCGACGCCCGGCCCCCGCGCCGCCCCCGCGCCACCCCTCCCGGCCCCCGCCGCGCCCGGCACCGGAGGCCCCCCGCCCTGCCCGCCCCCACCCCCGGGCCTGCGTCCTGGAGCCCACCCCCGTTCCAGCGCGCCCCTCGCCACCCCTTGCGGCCGCCCGCCCCCGCGCCGCCCCCGGGCCCGAGCGAGCTCTCTCACTCTATCCCCTCGTCACAGGCCCGGCGCCCCTGCCGCCCCCGCCACGCCCCGCACAGTGCTCTTGCACTCCTGCGTTGGGGCTCCCTCGCACCGCGCCGCACCGCGCCGCACCGCGCCAACGCCCGTATCCCACTTACCCCAAAAGCGGTCCAACTCAAGGCGACTTGTTGACGTTTTCTCAGTAGGTCTTGGCGTGGCGGAGCGTGGCGCGGCGTGGCGGAGTGGGGCGCTGCGGGGACGGCGTCAACGACGGCCCTACCGGCAGGGCGACGACGGCCAGCCTCGTAAATATGGGGCAACGGAGGCCGGGGTACGCTAGGCGTGGCGCGGCGCGGCGTCGTCAATCCATCCTGTCGCGCTCTGCCACGCTCCGCCGCGCCGCCCCGTTATAGCGTCGGAGGCTCGAGACCCGACAAGGTCCCCGGCGGCGCGGCGCGGGGCCCAAAGGGTGGCCGAGGCAGTGGAGGCCCTTCTCGAGGACGGGGTCGTGCCGGGCCGGGCTGAGGCGCCTGTGCGCACACCTTACCTCTTCTGGAGCTGCGAATTCATTAATAATCAAAGGGGATAATCATCCTCCAGCTCCTCCAGCCCCAGTGTGCTCCTGGAGCCCGGCGTGCCGGCGTGCCGTCCGGAGGGCCGGGCACGGCTTTTGTGGGGCCGAGGCCAGGCCGGGGCCCGGGGCGCTGGGGGACCCGACGCCGTAACCCCGGAACGCTCGGAACGTCAAGCAGTGCGCCCTCCAGGAGCCCTTTCCTTTCCCCCGGACCCACTTTCCGCCCTCTCCTTCAAAGTCATCACCATCAACGGCCTTATTGCCAAATAAAGATTCAGCAGCCAGCCTCCGTTTTCCCCTTTTTTTGCACCTTTTTGCTACCTTGGAGATAGGCTTCCGAAGCCCCCGCCGCCGGTCGCCATGGCTCGCCCGTGCCGGTCGGCCGAACGGCGTCGTGGGACACTTGGATCCTCATACACGGCCGCCACGGTCACCTTCACCTGCGCAGAGCGGGTGGAGCGAAGGGGGCGTGGCGGCGGGGCGCGGGGGCGCGGGGGTTGACGGGGCCCCGCTGGAGCCGCTGGATCTGAGACCGCTCTGGCAACTCTAGCTGAACCGCCCCCACTCCCTGCACGCCGAGGCTGTCGAGGCTGCGCCGGGAACAGGCGCCATTCTGCGCACCCGGGCGCCATGGAGGGGGGTGGGGGTGGGGGAGGCTGGGCCATCGCCGGCCGGGGCGGCGGGGCGGCAGGGCGGCGCGGCGGCAGGGAGGGGTATGTAGGCCACCGGCGGCCCGGCCGGCGAGCTGGTCCGCCTGCTCCGCTGTGGCGCGACGAGGCTCCTATCTCCTGTGTTTTCCGGCGGCCCTCCCTGTGGTGCCCTCCGGTTCCCTGTTCCCCCGGTGGCCGCGCAGTCCTGCCCCTCGGCGTGCCTCTCTCCGACGAGCCTCTCCGGCCAGCCTCTCCAGCCAGCCTCTCCAGCGCCCACGGCGTCCGCATCAATCAGGCCGCGAGTCAATCACGGCCCCATCGACCCGCACCCATTAGGCGGATAATCGCCTAGGGTCTAGCAATGGCCGCGGGGTGGCCGCGGGGTGGCCGAGGGTTGCCTACGCCGCCCGCCGCCGCACCCTGCCTGGCCTGCTAGCACGCTGGGTTGCCTAACCTTCGGGCGCTACGGGGGCTCGAGGAGCAGGGCGCGGAGGGGCGGAGCGGCGCGCTAGCCGGCTGGCAAACCTTAACTCGGCAGATTGATTCCAAGAGTCACTTTATCCCACACTCATGAGGCGTCCCGCGCAGGTGCGAGAGGGACGCAGAGCGACGAAAACTTCTCTCGGAATCAGTCTGCACCAACTCGACGCCGGGGGATCCAAGATGTGCTCTCATATTCCCCGTAGAATCACCGTACTCGGCTGCCCAACCCATAGCACCAAAATTACCACCCTCCTCCCGGATTTAAAAACGCGTTACACGCCAGACGTGCAAACCCAGCCTCGCTTGTTTGGATGTGAGGGGAAGGTGCAGGCCGACAGGCGGGCGGGCTCACACTCCGGGACTCGGCAACACAACACAGCGTTGCTGTTATGACACCGATACCAGCGGCTGGCCGTGCCGTGCCGAGCCGCGCCGTGCCGGTCCGTGTCGAGCCGCACGGTGCCGCATGAAACCTGACCCCCGCCGGAAATTCAAACTGCGCGCCGCCCTGGCCCTTTCCGCCTCGACAGCGGGGCCGCGGGCGTTCGAACAGTCTGTCTCTGCTGCGCCGCCGCGGCGTGCTGGCGGGAGCGACACAGACAGACGACGTCCGACGCCCCGGATGCAGCCCCAGTGCAGCCGACAATGCGCCGGCTGCGCGCCGCGCGGCGTGTCCGGACAGCGGACTGGACAATTAAATGATAAGCGGAGTGAATTTCTCTCTCGCTGACATTCATCTGACGACTCGCCATCAAGTCGAGCGCTCGTCTAATCTGCCCAATTCCGTTTCGGTTGGCCTCCATCGCCTTCCTGGTCGTTGGCGCCTCGGCGCAGGGCTCGCCGCGCCGGGCTGCGGTCGGACCGTATCTTCGTCGCCGCCCGGCAGGTTGTTGGGCCACCTCGTCTTCCGTCAGCCGTTGCTGCGACCAGGCGCATTTAGACCTAATTCAGGAACAGTTTCGCTCCAAAGTTGGAGGGGCGGGGGGAGGGGGGAGGGGGTCGCGCGGAAACGACGACAACGGCCATCTCGGAGGAGGCCCAGCCGGCCTGCGCCTCCACTCGGGGGTCTAGGACAGCCGACCACACTCTCTCTGACCACGTCCCCCACTCACCACTGACAAGTGACCACTTCGTACTCTGACCGCGCGTACAAACTGGCCACACTCTGACCCCTAAATACTGACCACAAAAAGTCAAAAAATCCAATATTTATTTAAGTTTAATGAGAAAATGGCCCTTAGAAAGTCGATGTCAAAACGTTGATAAAAAGGGTCCTTTTAACATGTAACTGACCAGGAGCGAAAATAAATCAAGATTAATAGGCTAAGAAACCTCCATTGCAAGCTACGTATTTCAAAGCAATTTTTGGGAAAGTGACTTTCACAGTACCTTCGAACGATATTAGAAGGGGTTTATGAATTGATTCTCATGAACTATGCCATGCAAATATTGTGACTGGATCTGAACCTTTTGGGCTTCCCTCGCATGAAAGAGGCTCCTCGGCCACAATGGAAAGTGACGGTTGCGGGACTTAAAATTCACCACGGCACTTGAAAAAAAAAACATCGAAGTTTGTCGAAGAAAGGTGATGAGAGCTTTGTGCACAATGACTAGTGCTGCACTTTTGATGATGGACTATGTTCGGCCATAATAGGTGGTAAGCACAATACTCATTTTATGGACGTGACCAAACAGCGATACCAGATCTGGTATCGCTGTTTGGTCTATTAAAACACAATTAAAAAATGAAAAGTGGAGTCAACCTAAAATGGGTTCACTACGCAGTCGTGGTCATTATGATTGAGGGGTCATTTTGTACCTGGGTCAGTTTAACTGTGGTCACTTGTCCGGATACCTCCACTCGGCGCCCCGGACCGAGTCGGGCCTAATAAATTTGATTTAATTTCCCACTGGGGACATGAAAGCCTCAAGGCCGAGAAGAGGGCGCGTCGAAATTAGTCGACACGGCCGACATGGCGGCGGCAAAAATCCGGGCGATCGCTGCGCCGCGCTCGGCCGGCCCGCGCGGACGGACGGACAGACGGACGGACGGGGCGAGCGGCAAAAAGGTGTTGGCCTCGCGACCTGGCCCGCGCCGCCCCGCCGAGCAGAGCCGAATCGAGGCAAAAACAAGCGGCGATTTCCATGGTAATTAAACAGAGCGTGAGATATGCAACGAGAGGGGGGGGGGGTGTCTCTCTGCCGAGGGGTGGGGGTGGGGGCAGGGGCGGGATCGGTATGACCGATTTGCCGCGCATCCGTCGTCGCTCTCGCACTCATCGGGACTCCCTTGGGCGAGAGAGACAGAGCGATGGAGCGACGTTCGAAATCAGTCTTCTGAGGAGGTTCACTGACTGGGATTTTCGAGGGTGTGCCCGCCGCACCCAAAACCCGGGCCGTGACGGTGTAGCGGTGTTGCGGGTAGCTTTCCCTGCCTGGACAATACTGCCGGCTGCGGGCCGCCCCGCCCCGCCCCGCCCCTCACACATCATCATCCCGTCCTGATGAGGCCTCCGTGCGCGCGGCGGAGCGCAGCGGAGCGCGGAGCACAGCGGGACGTCATCAGATCTAGGCGGCGACATTGTTGTGGCGAGAGTTGGCCCAGGACGTGGCCAGTGGGGCAGCGGGGGCGGCGCGGGGGCAGCGGGGGCGGCGGGGGCAGCGGGCCGGGGTGGCGCTGGGAAAAGGGGCTGACCGCGCGGCCAGCCACGCACAATGCGTTGATAGCTATGGAAGATAGCTCTCTCTCTCTCCAGCACTCCAATCAGGAACGCAACGCAAGTGGAGCGAAGCGTCCTTTTTCCAACCCCTCGCCGCGCCCCGCCCCGCCCCGTTACAGAAGGGCACGGTGACCTCCACCCCCGCGCACGCACCCACACACGCAGCCACCGCGGCCAAACACTCACGCGCACACCACAACGGCATCGCGCTCTTCGCCATTCAATAATAACCGGCCGCCCCGACGGGGATCGAACCGCGGCCGGGCGCTCCGCTTCATAAATGAAGCGGTTCGTTGGCGCGCGCGTCCGCGTCAACTACACCACCACTAATTCTGTTTCCGCGTGCGAGTTTGTTGCGAAACAGGA